ATTTTGGATTATTGCTTTAAATATTGGGTATACACTTTTATTGTCATCATAGGACTTTGTATAAAGTACAAGAAAACCCTGAACATATCACCGGACCTTACAATTGCCAGATTTAACATAAAACTAGGATAAAGAAGACAAGCCAAAGTCAGGAGTACTCAAAGAGGGTAAATGGTGACACAAGCCAAGGTCACGGACAATGGAAATCAGAATAGTCAGATAAACGAGCCAAAGGTCAAATACATGGAGGAATCAATAAACGCGCTCTCAGATAAACCACAACATGGGCAAGGTATAAATGACAAACAACGTTTAATAGCCTAAAGTGGTCTGTGACTCGCTATTTACAATCACATGACCATGGAATGTGATGTTACACACGCGGCGGTGGTAAGTGCGGCCTGCAGCCAACATGACAGACATATAGAGACATAGATCTTTGTGACTGTGATAGTGCATTTTGTAGCCTATCTAGGTATATTTCAGGTACAGGTGGTAAGGAAGTTTTTAGCAATTTCTTCAAAATGTCTTGAATATTTCTTTAATTTTCAGCAGCTTCATGATATATGAAGCACAGAGTCCTCCTCCGTCTGGCATCTCCAACATTCATTCATTGTCATGGGATATATGTGGTGAAGTCTTTTGGGAATGAAGTACCAGCGAAATAATACATAGAAACATAGAAACATAGAAAGATAGAAAGATAGAAACATGGAAACATGGAAACATGGAAACATAGAAACTTAGAAACATGGAAACATGGAAACATAGAATGTGACGGCAGATAAGAACCATTCGGCCCATCTAGTCTGCCCAATTTTCTAAATACTTTCATTAGTCCCTGGCCTTATCTTATAGTTAGGATAGCCTTATGCCTATCCCACGCATGCTTAAACTCCTTTACTGTGTTAACCTCTGCCACTTCAGCTGGAAGCCTATTCCATTATCACGCAATCCATGAACCAGTTTAGTAGCCCTTCTCTGAACTCTCTCTAAGGTATCAATATCCTTCTGAAGATACGGTCTCCAGTACTGTGTATAATACTCCAAGTGAGGTCTCACCAGTGTTCTGTACAATGGCATGAGCACTTCCCTCTTTCTACTGCTAATACCTCTCCCTATACAACCAAGCATTCTGCTAGCATTTCCTGCTGCTCTATTACATTGTCAGCCTACCTTTAAGTCATCAGAAATAATCACCCCTAAATCCCTTTCCTCATATGTTGAGGTTAGGACTCTATCAAATATTCTGTACTCTGCCCTTGGGTTTTTACGTCCAAGATGCATTTTCTTGCAATTATCCACATTAAATGTCAGTTGCCACAACTCTGACCATTTTTCTAGTTTATCAAAATCATTTGCCATTTGGCTTATCCCTCCTGGAACATCAACCCTGTTACATATCTTAGTATCATCAGCAAAAAGACATACCTTACCATCAAGACCTTCTGCAATATCACTAATAAAAATATTAAAGAGAATGGGTCCAAGTACAGATCCCTGAGGTACCCCACTGGTGACAAGTCCAAGCTTTGAATATATTCCATTAACTACAACCCTCTGTTGCCTGTCACTTAGCCACTGTCTTACCCATTCAACAATATTGGAATCCAAACTTAAAGATTGCAGTTTATTGATAAGCCTTCTATGTGCAACAGTGTCAAAAGCCTTACTGAAATCTAGGTAAGCAATGTCTACTGCACCACCCTGATCTGAAGTAAACCCATGTTGTCTCTGATCTTGAAATCCATGTGTTTTTAGATGTTCAACAATCCTATCCTTTAACATGGTTTCCATCACTTTCCCCACTACTGAAGTAAGGCTTACTGGCCTATAGTTGCCCGACTCCTCCCTATTACCTTTCTTGTGAATGGGTACAAAATTCACTAATTTCCAATCTTCTGGGACTACTCCTGTTAACAATGATTGGTTAAATAAATCTGTTAATGGTTTTGCTAGTACACCACTAAGCTCTTTTAATAGCTTTGGGTGTATTCCATCAGATCCCATTGACTTATTTGTCTTTACTTTTGACAGTTGAAATAGAACCTCTTCCTCTGTAAACTCACATGTAACAAATGACTAATTTATCCTTTTTCTTAACTGAGGTCCCTTTCCTTCATTTCCATCTGTAAATACTGAACAAAAATATCCATTAAGGCAATCAGCTAGACCTTTATCCTCTTCTACATCCCTTCCTTCTTTTGTTTTGAATCTAACTAATCCTTGTTTTACTTTCCTTTTCTCATTTATGTATCTAAAAAATGTTGTATCCCCCTTTTTTACTGACTGTGCTTTTTTCTCTTCTGTGTGTGCTTTAGGGGCTCTTATAACTTGCTTAGCTTCTTTCTGCCTAATCTTATAGACCTGTCTCTCTTCCTCACTTTTTATAATTACTAAATGCTCACTTTTAGTTTTTAAATATTTTGGCCACATCTGCGTAGTACCACAGTGGTTTCTTAAATTTACTTTTACTGACAAGCCTAATGCAATTTTCTGTTGCCTTCAGCAGTGCAACTTTTAAATAATTCCATTTCTCCTGGACTCCATTTAAACTGCTCCAGTCTGACAAGGACTCCTTTACACATATTCTAATTTTAGAAAAGTCTGTTTTTCTAAAGTATAAAACTTTTGTTTTTGTGTGGTGTGACTCAGTCACTGTTCTTATATTAAACCACACTGACAGGTGATCACTAGATCCTAAATTTTCACCTACACCTACATATCTGACACCAAATCTCCATTTGTAAACACTAAATCTAGTATGGCCTCCTTGTGGAGGACAGGGAACAAGGACAAATTTCCCATGATCCTTTTTTGTACTTGGAAGATAATTGCGCAAGAACCATTCTTTAATTAGATTATCTCCCAAGTACATAAAATTTAACATTATTTTAAAACATTATGTGGCAAAACTAGCCACCAAAGACTATGTATGAAGATGCATGCATGGCTGCTAAATTGTAAAGAAACCAATGCTATTTGTATTTTAGGCGAATGAGGGCATTCGTATGCTGGCGGTAGGAAAACCCCAGCATTTCTAATGAAGTTTCACGAACGGGGAGTTAAAACCCTGTTCGTGAAACGAATAACCTACCGAACGCACGACCACACACAGGGGGTCGTGTGGCACCAATTAACCGATTGCAACAATGTTGCAATCGGTAATTAAGAGTGTTTCTAGGTGGCCGTCCTTCGAATACCGACCACGCGGCGGTCGGCCATCTTGTTTCTTTTGTTAGCCCAGCGGTGTTTTGTCATCGAGCGCCTGGAACTAAAAACGGCTACTCAACGGCACGAACACTGCTGGACTTCCAGGCTGTTCGGGAACCTCGGCCGTTCGGTAGTTCATTCCCCTTATGATAATCGGTATTTTTAAACCTATGTTAAAATTATGTGTATTTCGTACGGCGTTCGGTTAGTTAGACTGGGAGCTGAGCGGTAAACTCCCGAACGATGCGCTCAGCCTCCAGCTATCTACCGAACGTCCGTTCGTGTAAAACTAATGAATAATGTAAAAGTTATGTATTTTAATGTAAAAAGTGAGTTCTGCTGCACGGAGGGATAATCCCATTAACGGTATATTCCAGTGGGAGTATCCCTCTCGTCCAGCAGTGTATGATGGGAAAATTGTGTGTGTTGGGCAGTTCCCCATGTAGTCCCCTACTGTACAACCCCTGAAATGTCAGCAGGGAAACCCCTTGCATGGGGAATCCCATAAATACCGTGACCTGCCATTAAACCTCAGTTGACCTCCAAGCTATGTGTCGTCTAGTTCTTGGGAGGAAGGGATTGTAACTACGCTACCTGGATTTTACCTGCTTTGTGCCTGTTTGTTCCTGTCTACCAGCGGAGATACCGTGGATAATACTACTGCTCCGCTACACATTATAACTCCCATAATATGAATCAGAACTTCAAGAAAGACACTTCACTGAATAGCAGGCATCTGAGCACCCAATCTGTCGAAATACCGCTCAGATCCGTTCGGTAGAACAGAAGAGCCATTCAAATTAAGTTTTAGACCGGTCAACCACGAGCTGAAGCCCCAAAACAGTTCAATGCGATTTCATGCTTTGACCGGTATTCTTTCGGGAGTTCTCACGAATAAAATAACGAATGTAACTGTACATGAATTCATTTGACTGAATTTGTTTGTTCAATTCAGTCAAATGCCACTTCTCTAAGACGAAAGGGGATGCACGTACGAACGAGAAGGAAGCCCAGCGGTGTTCGCGAGGTCGAATTTCCGATTTTAGTTCCACGTACTCAACGACCAAACACTGCTGGGCGTTGGTGCGCCAAGATGGCCACTGCCAAGTGTTTATTCATACAAACGCGGCCACCCATCTGACTATATTGCAAATCCTTAATTGGAGACGCGCGACTACTCTAGGTCGTCTCCCGTTCGATAGTTGGTTCAACTAACGAACAATATGTCCATATTCTGTTTGTGAAGTAAGAATAGTCAAACCAACTCAGACTCTCACACAAATAAGTGGCTAGTTTTGCTACATAGTTGACTACCCCATGCCTTATATAGAGAATAACATAGTACTCCCGTACAAATAGAGTACTACTAACTTTGAAAGTGTATAAGTGGTGTGCAGAGGAAATAGTGTTCATACAGTTAATGTTATGATACATAGTTTATTAAATTATAATAAAGAATAATGCTCTCATTAAACAGTTCTGTAAGGCATTAACAATAAGTTCCCTCTAAGTCCCTAATAGCGTAGGCATTAGGAAAACATGTTAGGCCACAAATAGATACTATAATGTACTTCTAATAGTCAAGGTTTTAACCACTTAAGAAACAAATGATGTTTCTAAACATAATCACTGTGGCGGAACCAACCTCGCCACTATGCACTGGAGAAGCCTGGTTGCCAGCCTCCTGCCATGTGACTATGGCCTCTGGGATGTATTGCCCTTTAAAGACATGATTTGGGCATAATGGATTTGTGTTGTGCTGCTGCTAGCCCTTTTAAGAACCATCTGGGGACATACTGTGGAGTTACTGGGTGGCCACCATTTCCTGTATCAGAAGCACATGGTGAGAACAATGGATGGCGGCCATTTTAACTCACAGACACTGTTTGGACTTTTCAACACGGTGCTATCTCGCCAGTATTTGTTGCACAGAGACATCGTGCGGTGGTTTTGGACTATACAGCAGGGGACACATTATAAAGTGATTGTTTTTTATTTAGCCTGTATATGTTCTGCAGAATCTGCATTAAACTGTATTTTCCAAAGTACTGAATGGATCTGGGTGAATTTTGGATATGTGGTTCACCCAGATCCCCCAGTTCCAAGGATATACTTTTATGGGGTTATTGCATGTTTTGGGGTCCCTGTGATGTGTTTTATGAAACTGTATTTCTCTGGCTGTGATAATTAGATTACCCATTGTGTTCAGTAATCATATCACAGCCAGAGGGGAGGATTTTGTGTGGGAGTGTCTGGGTGTATTGTATGGATTGATTGGCTGTTTTGTAACGCCCTGTGGGCTGTACTATGTTTGTGGATTGGGAATAAAAGAGACTGTATGTGACAGTACAGGGAGTTCCTGTTTTAACCCTCAAAGTGAAGTGTCGTCTCATTATTGGGGAAGGATTTATTGTATGCTGTTCCAGTTTGACTGCTAGGAGAGTAAACCTATTCGTATGGTTCCTATTCAACTGTCTACAGCATTCATATGCTTGAGAGGATTCATGTGCTTCTCCGGTTCGGTGGTTGTGGTGTCTGCCAGAGTGCTTGGAGTGCTCAGGAAGCGCTAGGAGCATCCTTCAACGGAGGTACCCAGTCGGGGTGCCAGGTGATCCGTTACAATCACATCTTAAAGGCTTGAAGATATTGTGGCAACAGTATAAGTGTTAAATAAATAAATAGCTATATTTAGGAAGAAATCCTCATATAGTAGAATCTTGAGATAAGAGTAGCCGATAAAGACCACTGTGCCACTAGTACAATTAGTAACCACCACCAAAGGTTACAGAAAAGGATATATATGGAGGGTGCTGATTTGAAATTAATCAAAAAAGTATGTACTGGGCTCAGTGGAAATATCAAGTAACATGGATCTTGAGTGTGTCCTTATGAAATACAAATGTATCAGCTGATCGGACCTAAACCTCCTATATAGTAAGGCAGGTAGTGTCCACCAGCTGCAAATGGGTTAATATAGTAAAGATCTTATATATATAAGAATCAAATACCACAGATACAAATGTCTAACATACCCCTATAAAGAAGGTATGCATAATTATAAATGTAAATAAAAAAATGCAAATGAAAAATGCAAATGGAAAAAAAGTCTAAAGTTAGTCAAATATATGTACAGCAGACGTGAAACTTATTAATACTTTATTATCTGAACAGCACACTAAAATATATAAAGACTAACGGTAATAAAAATAAAAAACAGTCCCACATATGAGAGGTGGATAGTTTACCGGGTCACAGTAGACTGAGGGTCCAAAAAAGATAGATATACGTTACTTTCTCTTGCCGGCCGGACAGAGAAGGAGGAGGACTGCCTCGTGCTAAGCTGACACCGGGTATTCTCCGCATGCGTTTCACTGCGGCTATGCGTTCCAAATCTCTCTCTCAGGAACTGATGATCGTCGGATGCCTTCCTTACGCGTTTCGTGATTTCAAATCACTTCATCAGAGGATGGCATCAAAGGAGCATTAACTTCTTATATACTCCCTAACTTCAATCGGTTAAGTGCATATAATTGTTGAATTAACCCTCCATTCGCCAAGACAACAAATTGGGAACAGAAAAGCTTTTTTTAAACCTTCTTTTATAAAATCATTAGAATAGTTAAAAATTATTTAAAAATATCCAAAGATAATAATATTGTATAAATAATGATAATAGAAGACATATTGACCAGTAATTCATTACAATTGTACATAAATACATGCTCTTAAGTACATAGTTATACAAGCACATAATTATATAAGCAATCATTATGAAGAGTTGATAATTTGGTATCATCATAATATTGTTACATTATAACATTATAACTTAAGATACATCCGCTGTTACGAGTAAGAAAAAAACGAAATGGTTATAATGAATGACAGAACATCTAATAATTTACATAAAGGGAAACAGAAATTTTAAAAACATAGTAATCAATATACACCTATATTGTGAGAACAGACCGTCTACTGGAACCACAACTAATTGCAAAATACAGTGGGACAAGTCCTTTAATAAATCACTGCTGCTTCGAAGAAAAAATCTAAATTTAAAAATACATATAATAGTAATATATATGAGAAATAAGAATACGTATGAGTGATAAATATATAAAAAAGAGAGAGGTGCGTCCGCTATTACACAGTATCGAATACTTGATATCAAAGGAAACAAAAGAACCTGGTGATCAATGGGAACCAACATGGTAGAGACAAACCATCTGGTGTTACCATAATTAGCTAAAAAATACAATGGGACAAATCAAGTAGTAACTGTATCGTTACCACTTAAAGTGACAGGGTGTCTAAAAAATTTAGTATACTAATAAAAAATGAATAAATGGTATTTACTGTCATAAAAAATAGATAAAATAGGAATATTGGATTCCTAGAAATAAAATTATATGTATAAAATAAATGGGGAATACTTAGTAGTCGAATGACACCTATGCGGTTAGGACAAATCATCTGGTGTAACCCCAACTGTAAAATGGGACAGGTCCTGTAGTAAGTGCATCACTATTATTAAAATAATAGAATATCTAAAAATATATTTAAAAATATATTAAAAAAAAATAAAAAAAAAATAAAAAAAAAATATTTTCAAAAAATAAATAAATAATAAAAAAAAAAAAAAAAAATTATTTAAAAAAAAAAAAAAAAAAATTTTTTTTATATAAAAATGCATTGAGCTCAAAATTAATATTAAGACCAACTGGTTCCAAACTGTTCAGTTGAAATATCCATCTTGCTTCATTTTTATCAAGCCTTTTTTCAAAATCACCTCCCCTCCAATGTGGATTAATTAAATCAATAGCGTAAAATTCTAAGCCAGTTGGATCGTTAGAATGATAATCGGTAAAATGTCTTGAAAGATTATGCGTATTAAGTCCTTTCTTAATGTTGCGAATGTGTTCTCCTAATCTCGTTCTAAATTTTCTCTTCGTCCTGCCCACATAATATTTCTTGCAGGGACAAATTAGGAGATATATGACCCCTGTGGAGTTGCAACTCAGATTTGATTTAATTTTAAATTCTTCATCTCCATTCATATTGCTAAATTTTCTTGCCAGTATTGCTTGTGTGGGGTTGTTCTTACAACCTGGACTTTTATTGCATTTATGAAAGCCAGCCATCTCCTGGTTCATTCTGGATGGTCTAACTTCCTTAATCGTTGGAGCTAGTATGGTTTTCAAACTTGGAGCTCTGGAATAAAATATTTTTGGTTTATCATCCAATATGGTGCTCAATGTGGTATCTTCTTTTAGGACCTTCCAGTGTTTATTTAAAATATGTCTAACTCTTCCTGCTTGGTCACTGAATTGAGTGATAAATGCAGGAGCCTCAGTGTCAAAATTGGATATTTTATTTCTACTTTGTAGAGTTTCTTCCCTTGATAGATTCAGGGCTTTGTTCATGGCATCATTCAACAAATCTGAGTCATAACCTTTCTTCAAAAACTGACCTTTCATTTCTTCCATCTGATTTCTGCAAGTTTCTAATTCTGTGCAGTTCCTTCTTATTCTCCTAAATTGCCCATACGGGATATTGTCCAACCAGGATTTCTTGTGGTGACTATCCGAAGGAAGGAAACTATTGCAGTCTACTGGTTTTCTAAAGGTTTTAGTATTTATTCTTCCTTCTTTGATATAAATCTCCAAATCTAAAAATTCCACCGAAGATTGCGATTGAGTAAAAGTGAATTGTAAATTGTACGGATTAAAATTAAGATAGTCCTTAAATTCTGTTAGAGAGGATAAATCCCCTTTCCAAATAAAAATGCAGTCATCGATGTAGCGCCGCCACAGGACCAGGTTTGCACCGTATGTGGTATTGTTCCAAATAAATTCTTCCTCCCACTTTCCCATAAATAGGTTTGCATAACTAGGTGCAAACCTGGTTCCCATGGCGGTGCCCTCTATTTGGAGGTAAAATTGTTTTTGTGCCCAGAAAAAATTGTGGCTCAAAATAAAGGCGATGGCTTGTATGAGAAAACTGATCTGGTCATTCTTTAGTTCCGAATATTTAGCAAATGAATGTTGGATGGCTTCACATCCTTGAAGATGTTCAATTATTGTGTATAGTGAAGTAACATCCGCTGTCACTAAAAAGAACCCTTCGTTCCATTCAATTTTGGACAGTGTTTGTATCACTTGGGTGGTGTCTTTCAAATACGATGGTAATTGAACCACCATTGGTTGTAGAAATTTATCTACATATTGAGAGAGATTAGATGTTAATGAATTGATACCTGAAATAATTGGTCTTCCAGGGGGATGGGTGAGGTTCTTGTGTATCTTGGGTAGATAGTAGAATACTGCTATCTTTGGATATCGGCACCAAATGAAATCGTGTTCTCTTTTAGTTAAAATTCCTTTATCTTTACCTTCATTTATTAATTCCAAAAACTCTTCCATGAAGGTTTCCTGAGGATTATTTGTAAGGGGTA